GAAAATAATACTATTATGATGTATGGATCTGAATGTTGGGCAGTAAAAGGAACGGATGAAAGGACATGTGGCACAAATACGAATGTTAAGATATATGTGGGGTAACACAAATGGATAAGATACGAAATGAGTATATTAGAGGAAGTTAGAGAGTAGCCCCAGTAGTGGAAAAGGTAAGGAGTAAAAGATTAGCATGGTATGGGTATGTTATGAGGAGGAATGAATCGCATGTTACAAGGAGAACGTTAGTTATGAGTGTGGTACATCGGTAGAGGTAGACCTAGAAAGAGATGGTTTGCGTGAAAGGTGACATGATCAAAAAGGGAGTAATGTCTGAGATGACGAATGATAGTTATGTGGAGGACAAAAACCTGTTCCGCCGACCCTACGGGAGTAGGATAAGTAGAAAGATGATGAATAAGAAAATTATACTAAGATTTATGTCATTTCAGCTGCGAGTTTATTAGCAGAAAGTGTAGTCAGGATCGATGGTAAAATGCAAAAAGGTTTGGAAGTTGATGCCAAAAGTTTTAATAGATATCTATTTAGCTATTTTTATCAATAGACTATTGAAAAATGATGAAATAATTTCAATGATATTTAAGTTACTTGTCCTATAAATGTTTGCGGACTATAAAGTGTTTTTTTTTTTGTATTCTTTGTTATAAATTTTTCTTCGTCTTTTTAATGGCTTATTTTTGTGGACACATTAACGCTGCTACCCACGCTTGGTGATGGACAAGGTTACCTTGCTTCGAAACCATTCATCATTTCTGTTCAAATGGCGACGCTTAAGTGCCGAAGTCAGCCACCTTAACGCGTCATTTATTTCGGCTCTACCAAATGGCTTTCATCCGACGCTACTTACAAACTCGTAAATTACACCAGGATTTCCTTTGAAAAATTACTTAAGCGATCTTTGATGATATCTTTTAGGACAATATAACATTTATCATTTTATGCTCATTTTCCTTTATCCATTTAATCTGAATATTTGTACCTACATTAACGCTTAAGACTAAACTATCGCATAACTGTTTAGTCGCGCTTTGATTTCTATGTGCTTATGTGGAAGTGCACACACTACGCGATTTGTAGCTGTGCAAATAAACAGCTGAATTTGCAAAACAATCGACAATCGCACAACGATGGATGATTATTCCATCTCCCGCCAATCTACTTTCTCTTTCTCTTGTGTGAAAAGGGTTGAAAGGGGAATATGGTTAAAATAATCGGATCGTATTATACTCGTAATCGAAGTTTATTAAGTGGTAGTAATTGTTCAAACCATTTAGACAATGCCCAGATTTATGACGTCAAACCGCTAATAGAGACGTATGGTTGAATGTTGCCATAACAGTTAATTTATTGCCAACAGATTACTGGATGTGTTGCCATATTATACGGCTATAAATAATAATTAATGGTGTGTTTGGGTCAAGTGTAATTGGGCGACTGATTTAATTTGTTTAGTATCAAATTGGAAAATTTGAAATGATCATAGAAGTCGTATATTGATTGGTCACATGTGTACTAAAATTGTTTCTCTTTTTTTACCGGTGTCTACTAATTTACATTACTGGGAAGGGTATGGATATGGCAGAAAAGATATGAGACGTACATCTTTCTAATCTTAATATACAAAGTTTACATGAATACAAAGTTAATTATAGTTTGTAGCCCAAACGGCTGGACGGGTCTGGATGAAATTTTGCATAGACGTAGAACTTAGTCTGTACATAGACTACTGTTTAATTTTCTTTTTAATTTCGCGAGGTAAGGCGCAGGGGAAAACTAGTTTGTTTTAATTCTTTGCCACCTAGTCGAATGTGGAGTGGATCGTTAGTTTTTTATAACAATGTACATGAATATTCAATGAAATGTTATGAGAATTAAGTGGTATTACTAATTATGATATTAGCAATATTAAAGCGATTAGAATACAGTTTACATTGAATTACAATAACATTTCCACGAAATGAAAATGTACGTAACAATTTCGTTTTGTATTTCAACGGCTAAATCCGCTTTAAAATCAGATCAACGGGTTTTGTGAATGTTACTAATAAAAAAGTGAAACCGCAGACTACGGATAAATGAAAACCTCTTCACAATTGAAATCGATTCAGAATGTTTTGCGATACAAAGTCTAATACTGGGTTTCTGAAGTTTACTTTTATTTTAACACTGGCTTTCGATCGTGACTCCGTCCGAATGAAATTAATAAATAATATAACACATAGCCTATGTTACTCACTGACAACGTAGCTTTATAACGGTGATAGAATTTTTTAAATCGGCACAGTCGTTTTGGAGTTATTTCATTACAATCAAACAAACTCTTCCTCGCTTTTTTCTCGCCTGTGCGAGGCGCGACGCGACCGCGATACAATATCTTTAACCCTCGCCCTGAAGGAACCCCGCAGGGCCTGAAACTGGTCGGTGCCGTCACCGGAAAAAAGAGTATGACGTGAGTAAGCCGTTAAATAATTAATTATAAAATGTCTCACAAAAGTTTAAATAATTTAAACCTTTCCTCTTTAAAATGTTAGTATAGAAGTATAGATTACCTAGTGATTTATTAATGTTAGGTTGAACTTGTGGAGTCGGTGAGTCAGTTTAAGCATTTGACTTGAAATCTACAGATCTCGGAAATTATTAGAAAAGGTTCTCAGAAATTATCATTACGTGACTTCGTACAATAAAATGAAGATTTGAAATATTCTTTCGTTAAAGCAAACATTAGAGCGGGTACACACCTTTGACTTATAAAATCGCACAACTCTTGTGCGATTGTCGATTGTTTCGCAGCCAATTCAACTGTTTGCTTCCACAATTAAACATCGAGTAGTGTGCGCACTTCCATATAAGCTCATAGGAATAGCGAGACTAAAAAGTTGTGTCAATATAGACCCGGTTGAGGCCACAGTCCTTTGTTAATAAATCACCTTGAGTATTTAGGTTATTAGTGGTGGATATACTATGAAATACCCAAGGTAATGCGGACATTGTGCGTTCATGTTTTGCAAATCATTATGCAAATGGATCAAGGTCGTTGTAGGTTTATTCCACGGGTTATCATTAATCACAAATGTTTTTAAGGGCATCTATTCAACCCCTCAAGGACGCTTAGCTCTTTCTTTTGGTAATATTTATATGATAGATGCCGCTTGCGACTCCGCGTGGCATTAAAAATGGTTAAGTAATCTATGTATTCTTCCAGACTATGCACATTTATGCCTTACATGGATATCCGTTCAGCCGTTTAGGATATCCCGTCTTACATCCATCCAGACATGCAAACTTTTGTATTTATTTATATAACTCGAAAACTAGTAGGCCGATTTTAAAAATCCTTTCACCGTTAGAAAGGTAGTTAATCTGTGAGTAACATAGGCTACATTTTTATTATTTTTTTAATCTAACACGGCGAAGTCTTTTACTTAGAAAGTATGCATTTTAAATTATCGCTTGCATTATATAAGGCGTCATTTTCCATTCGTGCACGATAAAGAAAACATTTCGTGTAAGGTAGAATTGCACATGCGAAAATGTAATTTAACTGTACTATGCGCCGCGCCCTCTAGCGGAAATTGTCCGTGTTCATTTATTTTTAGTTTCAAAACACATTACATAATAACACTTTACCATATCTGTTGTCTACATCGTCTACTGAATATTTAAAAATAATAGACCAAGATCCCGTGGTTAGAGACGTCATTTACATTACGTCATTTCAACAAAGGGTTTTTTTATTTAATAAAGTGGCAAACTAGCAAGCGGCCACTTAAATCAGGCAAAATGGCGAAGAGACTGCTGCCCATAAACATCCGCAATTGCAGATACGTTGCCTAATCTTATTTGACGGTGGAGTAGACGCCCATAAAGAGGTTTTTACCCTTCCTATGCGTCTCCTCCACCGTTAAATCCACTTTCCCATCCAATCCTATCCTCATAAGAATAGGGAGGAACGGGAAAGGGACTAAAATTGCTCACACTTCATACTTGTCTGCGTGGTCGTGGTATTGCACCGAGCGAATCGACCCAATCATGATGTTAAAGCGGGCTTTACCACTGTTAAAAAGTGAGATATTGTTAGTCTGTCTACGGGATCTCGATTTATAAGTACTGATGTTCTACTTCTGAATTAAAAAAAAACACATTACCATAGATAGCAAAAAAAAGTGTAGCTTGAAATAAAGTTTATTATTATTATTATTATTATATTATAGATTACCTTTATTAAAATAACGTTCTAAATATTTACATTCTTGTCTATAAAAAACAGTATTTTCATTTAGAAAGGTTACAATGCGCTTCCATTTTTTGATCTTCCAGTTTCTGGAAATCAATTCTTTGACACTGGATAGCGCTGCCAGTTAAGTGTAAATTGAATCTAAATGGCATACAATAAGTAACATAGAAAAGGCATTCCTCGGAGACAATGTATTTAGGGAGTATTTTGCATTTTCAAAGCAAATTGTCACAAATAGCAATTTTGTCTACAATATTGCTCCAAATTGCCTTACCTTTGTTGTCTGTGTTTTTAATATAACTAGTTAACAATCAAATAGATTTTCACTGAGACTGATGGAACTGTTAAATTTTAGTCTGTACTTGGGATTAGGTACGTATGTATATGTATTTTATAGGAAAGAGATTTAGTAAGAAATAAAGCATTAAATCAGAATTAATTTTTGTGCTACTAAGTCGTCATCATGTCCTTATTCCATTCTACGTGAACACATTTACATCCTTATTCTGTACTTTCTGGTATTGACCATAAGGGAAATATAAGTTGTGGATATCAAAATGAAACTATATTTTACTCTCCCGTTTATCTTTATCTATACAATTATAATAAAGCGTAAACACACACTTCTTTGTTGCCTAAGATGTCAGCAATTACAGCATATTTTTGAATAATTCTTTCTTTAATAAAAAGCCCTACACTTACGTCACGCTTTAGGCTAACCAACATCAAGGAAGCAAGGTTACCATGGTTTGTCACCATGTCATGTCATTTTGACATTTGCAATTGATAATTTGACACATGTAAACAATATACAAAAAATTCATAATTGTATGCGGCTGAAGTCGCACCGGAACAGCTAGTATATTGATGGCTTTATTTCTTTAGTTTAATTTCACAATTTCCCCCCCACAATCATATCATCAACAATTCCTTGCAGTCTCTCATAGTATCTGTTATCCAGTTTAACTTTTACTTCTCGTAAATCAACCTTGTCGAAATCAGGTACATCATCTTCCAATGTAAACATAATGGGACCTATATATAAATAAAATTCCAAACCATATTCCAAATTATCCTCACAATCCATCTGGAATTTCTTCTTAGGGTATATCATGTTTACATCAATATCAAAATATTTTAGATATTGTTCCATTGTTTCGTGGTACATATCCTTTAAGTGGTTTAAATGTTTCCTTCTGAATTCCTTGTCTGTAGCACCAAATATGAAGAATAAGAAATCTAAAATTGGTGACCCGTAGTGCATTAGTTGGTAATCAACTGGTATTATATCGGTGATTTCTCCTTCCTGAAATGTTAATTTAGATTAATAATGATATTATCTAATCCGGTATACAATACGGCCACACAGAAAACAGGCGTGAAGTGGAAGCAATTTCGCGATTCGTCTGATGAGTGTGGTGCCGAAGGCCTAATTTTAGTCCCTTTACCTATCCACCCTTTTCTTAATATGGAAGGATGGGAAGGAAAACTAGATTAGACAGTGGAGGAGACGCATAGTAAGGGAAAATGTCCTCTTTATGTGCGTCTCCTCCTCCGTCAACGAAGTCAAGAATTTAATTAACGGAGGAGACGAATAGGAGGATATTTCTCCTTTTCACAGTTAATAAAGCAATAGAAAAGAAAATATGATTACCGTCATTTTTAGTAGTATGTTATTCACTCTGAAGTCACCATGGCAGAGACAACTGACATCAGTTTTATGACCTGTTATATAATTTTTCATATACTCATCGGCTTTTCTATCTATTTTCGCTTTTATTTCACTACTGAGATGAATCGAAGAAACTTTGTACATATTTTTGCAAAATTCAACATAATCTTCACCGTAATTTATTGGATGTTTTAAAATTTTAATTTTCCTTTCAAAATATTCCGGTCGCTTTTGTTGTATGACGAAGCTTAAAGCATGAAACCTTGCTAGCTGCTGTATTGAAAGCTCTGCGAACTTTAAAGGCATCACATTCATTCTGTATAATGTTGTAAAACCTTCCTTGTTAAGATTTTGCATTATTATCGATTCAGTGTCGCTTTCGTTGTAAGATTTTACCGATTTGTATCTCTCTTCTACAGGTACTCCGGCTTCTGTTTCTAGTTCAGTAAATAGTTTGCTCAGATCATTATAGAAGAACAATTCTTTAGAATAAATGTCAGAAACGTCTAGTATTTTAACATGATCCTGTGATATCACACGTTTAATGAATATGTTAGTTTCTTTATTACCTTCATTGGTTTTTCCTTCGATATCCACTTCGTATAACGAAGCCATATAGTCACCACCTTCTGTGGATATAGATCTACTCATCATTTTATAGTTTAGATAACCTTCTTCTCGAGCTATTTTCTTCATGATTGCTTGCAGTTCACTTGGAAGTTCATTTTGATTAGTGCAAACAAGTTTTGTTGTATGAAAATCATTGTATTTTTCTTCGATTTGCATTTTTAAATATACGTCAATTTAATAGAGAAGTTTCAGATGAAATAAAATTATTTTCAGTTGCGTGCGAGTTTATATAAATCAGTAGTATAAAGGTATTGTCATATTTGAGATGTTTTTGATGTGTTTAAATTTTATTTAGTTATTTGCGTATAAATGAAATATCCCGAATAATTCTTGTCATTTAGAGACTGGACGAAGATTTTCAATTGTTTTTTTTATAAATTTGAATTACAATAACTATGTAAAATACTTTTTAGGTAAAGCAGTTTTTGGTACAATTTTAAAACGTGAATGATTGCGATTACCTCTTAAAGAATGTAGTGCTGTTTTATGGATGGTTTTTAAACAGAAATAGTGGTCAATCAATATCTTTTTGACTATTTATTTTCAGTAATTTCAACAAAATAGATGTTTAGTTACTTTAGTTTTACGGACTTGTTCGTGTTGTTTATAATTTTATGCCCCGTATGTTGCAAATGTATGCAAATGTTTTAATTGTGAATAGCCCTTTAACATTATATAATATATGAAAAGTCACGCCATCTCTGGAAATTTCTCACGGGATTAAACATGATTGTTTGTTTGTCTGTCTTGATACCTACTGTTAACATTTTCTAGATTTCTTTCATTATCTTTGTATTTGCATTACGTATATACACATATATTATCTAATTGAGAGTTAAGCTATATTACATATGAGTTGCTGAATCATTTGTTGACAAAATATTATAGCAAAAGATAAAAGGTAATTTAAAACTTCATAAAGAAATCTTTTTAATGTATTTGATGCAATATTTCTGAATAGTTTTGATAATTAAATGGTTATTTCTCTTCTATAAAAGGTTAGTAGTTAATAAACTACACTAAAACAACTAATGCTCTTTGTGGGAGCAGTTTTAGCGAACAGAGTAAAACGTATAAAAATCAATATAAATGAATTAGGTCAAGCCTCTGTATAACCTGGAAAGTGTATTCATAATATCTATAAACTATATTAATACACTTATTTTCATAATCAAGTAATTTTCGATTAGTTTTTTTATCAAATCAATAGTAGAAATGTGGTAAAAACAAGCTTTATTTTTAGAGGATTTTTAAAACAAAAGAATAAGGGACATTGCAGACTTTTTAATTATAATTTAGTGAAATGTAAAAATGAAAAATTCAAGCAAATATTGATTCAGTGACGTTCCATTTTTTATTCCATTACCGGGAAAGCGTAGTGAAGTTTGTCGAATTCCGCGTAATTTGTTCAATAACCTTCCTTCAGTAACAAACGAGTTTTTCCGCCTGAAATGACGTGGGTAAAAGTTAAACTGTTGTTTTTATAAGGTCATATCTAGTGATTGTGGAAATTACGGAAATGTACCATAGTGAAATGTTATTTTATATTGATATTAATAATTTAAACAATATTTAGGACAACGCAGTGTGTTTCTGGCCTAAATATTTTTTGTGTTTACCCTACGCCCGATCGACCCAATAGTATTTTTTACCCATTATGTCAATTTAATTCAAAGTACGAACTATGGAATAGAAGTTTTTTCCCATAAAAATGTATCCACTAATTGATGAACTTAGACTTTCGACGCCATTTTGGATCCAATAATAAAACCTAGGTTTAAATCTAACTTCCCAATCATACTTCATACTAATATTATAAATGCGAAAGTTTAGATGGATGAATGTTTGTTAAAGTTTGTAGCCTAAACGGCTGAACGGATTTCGATGAAATTTGGTACAGATGTAGAGGATAGTCTGGAAGAACAAATAGGCTACTGACTTTTGATTTTTTAATTATATGCGGCCGGAGTCGCGGGCAAAAGCTAGTTCAATGTAATTTTCACAGACTGTCTTTATTTCGATAGCAATTCGCTGCATAAAATGTGTTAATCTACTAAGATAACATGTCGAGTTAAACGTATTGTAAACCCGCTTGATATTAAATCAAGCATTGTTAGGATTATTTTGTCCTGAATGCGTGTAATTGCATTCTATTGCTGACAACAGATTAGCTTTGTTGTCGATGTTGTTGTTAATCTTGCAACACATTTTCAGTTTTAAATGCAGTGTGAGTGTCAGTTCAACTGACATAAAGTGTTACATTATCTACACAAGTAATATACGAGGGTGAATCAAAAAATTTCCTTCGTAGACATTTTTTTCAAACTGAGATGTTTTATCACCGCACGTAACGCACTTTTATCCATAATTTTGACTTTTTAGCAACTCGTTGCACAAAAAAATTTATTACATGCGAACGAACTGACAAAAACAAGTGACAGTGTGCATAAATATAGTGTGATAGACACTCTTTAATTTGAATATCGAACTTGATCCAAAAAGGTTTCATATATATGCACTTCTAAGAACTTTTTGATTCACCCTCGTAAGTGCACAGTTCGACTGCAGTTAAAACTGTGCAGATAGAGTTGTGTGTAGGGGGCTTTTTACATAAACGTAACTTTAATTATAATTTTTTATGTATCCTATCAGAAGATTTGTTAATCTACGGTTCTTTTCGCGTATTAAAGTTCATTTCATTCTCATAATTTAAACTTACGTTTAGAGTTCGCACACGTTTGACTAAACTATCTCACTGTTGCGCGATTGTCGATTGTTTGCAGTCAATTCAACTGTTTAGTTGCACAATTAAAAATCTGGTCGTCTCTCCATATTAGCTAATAGGAATCAAAGCGGGACTAAACAGTCGTCCGACAGTTTAGTGAAAGGTGTGCGCGTTTTTAGAGAATACCGTAGATTTGATACTGTTTGAACTTGTTATCATTGTAACAAGATAAAAGATATCATAAATACGTTATTTATCTTAGTTGTATATGGACGGTATATAGCAGGTAATTGTTATGTAAATATTATATAAAGATAATGGAAATCTAATCTTATCGTTAAATTGTTACATATTATGTACATTGTAATATTACAAAAAACTGTAATGATGTAATATTTTGGAGGTCGTTTGTAGTTATTTTCATATGTACGTTCGCAATCATCATCATCATCATCACCAGCTCACTACATGTCCCCACCAAGGGGCTCCGAACCTACCCTAAATTAGGGTGATTAGGCCATAGTCAACCACGCGGGCAGTGCGGGTTAGTAGGCGTAATATTGTCCGTTAAAAATTAAAAAGTTATATGCCAGTCTTATTTTAGTAACCTCCGTTAAGCCGTTTAAATGTTACGTGGTAATCCATCCATCCAGTAAGAGCGTTCGTACACCTTTGACTTAACTATCGCACAACTGTTTAGTCGCGCTTTGAATTCTATGAGCTTATAGGTGCATACACTTTTCGATTTTTAATTGTGCAACTAAACAGTTGAATTGGCTGCAAACAATTGACAATCACGAAACAATTGTGCGATACACATTTACTATTAATTTTACTATTTGTTACTACTTTTTTCATTAAAATAAACATACTAATATTATAAATGCGAAAGTTTAGATGGATGGATGGATGGATGTTTGTTAGAGTTTGTAGCCTAAACGGCTCAACCCATTTCGATGAAATTTGGTAAGGATGTAGAGGATAGTCTGGAAGAACACATAGGCTACTTAGTTTTGTTTTTTTAATTACACGCGGACGGAGTCGCGGGCGAAAGCTAGTATATACTAACGTTAGGTATTTTGGGGAGATAAGATAGATGACAATTAAAAAACCGGTAAGTTTCACTGGACCCTTAAAATCTTATTTATTTATAAGAGGAATTATTTATTAATAAAATGTATAATAATAATAATTGTATATCGTTTCATAAATAATGATAACATTATAACGGAAACTGGTATAATAAATGTCTTTAGTGTTTATTTACTTTGTTTATAACAAGACGTAATTTTGTAATAAACCATAATTATTGTAATTACTTGTCGAGATTTTGAATTATCTTCTGTTTGTTAAGACTTACGTAGTTACATTTACGTAACATCTACGTATCGTTTTCGTAACATGCGCATAATTATATTTAAATGAAAATAACGAATAAACAGGAATTATGAATTGAATGTAAGAACCATTTTTAGTAAAAACAGGATGACATGTGACTAGTTCCCTATTTTAAACTAGCTTTCGCCCGCGACTCCGTTAGTGTGGAAGAAAAAAAAACAAAAGTGATTAGCCTATGTGTTCTTCCAGACTATCCTCTACGTCTATTGCAAACTTCATCGAGATCCGTTCAGCCGTTTAGGCTACAAACTCTAACAAACATCCATCCATCCATCTAAACTTTCGCATTTATAATATTAGTAAGATATATCTTCTTTTTAATCATAAACATAAACACAAAATACAGACTTACAAAAATCAAAAGTGAAAAAAACACGTGAAATGTATTCGTAAAAGTATATGTGAAGTGTTTTGTGTTTTGTTTAAATAAATAAAAATTCTTGTTATCCTGTTTTTTTTTTTATTATTCACTAGGTGTAGTGTGTCCATCCGACTACTGTTCTACATCTGTGCATCTGGATATACCTTCTAACATTCGTCCATCTAAGCTTTCGGTCGAAGGTGTACGAAGGATAGTAACGTACCATCTTGTTACCATTTTAATAGCTTGTGTAAACGTATTGCGCCAGTAGTTGGCCAACTATAAGCTGCTGCTGGATTTTACTAGAATATATTTCTGCCTTCACTGTATAAGGCCGAAGTTGTTTATAAGATCAATTAATTTGTCCTCTAATATGAGACTTTTGTTAAAATCTAGCTGTTGGTCGCGACTTAGTCTCTTTGAAGATATTCTATAGGTCGCATATATACCTTTCTTAGGGTGAATGATTTTTTTTAAATCAGTCCAGTAGTTTTGAGTTATTTATTGAAATAAAAAATACAAACATACAAAAATACAAATGTTTCCTCTTTATAATATAAGTATAGATGAGTGAGTATAAAGCAGAGAATTTTGTGATCTTACTAATATTATAAATGTGAAAGTTAAGATTTATGGATGGATGTTTGTTAGAGTTTGTAGCCTAAACTGCTGAACGGATCTCGATGATATTTGGCATAGTCTAGAACACATAGGCTACTTCCTTTTGTTTTTTTTTTAATTCCACATTAACGGAGTCGCGGGCGAAAGTTAGTGTATATAAATAATAAAACGATTTGATTTCTTTTTTGCAACTTTGCTTAAAATAATTAATCATAATATTTAATTTCGCCGTAATGAATAACAGCCCCTGGGAAAAGTTAAGGCTCAAATATTAATGGTTTCTGTATTATAAGCCGATGATGATCGTAAGAACCTCGCAGTGGACGGAAATTTATCGAAATATCTTTTACGGAAATATTCAAAGACCTTTTGTTATTTTATTATGATAAATGCATAAAATAATTATTATGCAAGATTTCAATTAGAGTTTAAAGCTATTTTGTGCAAAAAATTTTTGAACTTTGACTTTATTTCTAGTTGAAATAAAATTTGAATTTATTAATTGAAAAAAAAAAACCACACAATTACATGTACTGTTTATTATAATCTACCATTCTCAATCATTTCCTCTACGACTTCTTGTAATCTATCTTTGAATTTAAGATCCACGCTTACAGATTGTTTTGAAAGATCGTCTTTACTTAAATCGGGTACTTCATTTTCATCCGCAAAGAAGAAAGGTCCCAAAAATAACAAAGTCAACAATCCGAAATCGAAACATTCGTTAAAATTATCTTCAAATGTTTTCCTTGGATATATTTCGTTAACATCCATATCAAAGTAACTGAGGTAATTCTTCATAGTATTATGGTACAGGTCCTTTAAGTGGTCCATATGATTTTTTCGGAACTCCCTGTCTGTGGCTCCGAAGATGAAGTACAAGAAATCAATGATCGGAGACCCGTACAGTATTATTTGGTAGTCGACAGGAACGACTTCTGTTATTTCACCTTCCTGGGAAATAAATACAAGCTTACTTGTTAAGTCGAAATTAAATAATTCTATACCACACTCCAATACATTGTAATAACACTGTCGTGGACAAACGAATTATATGGTTTTTGCGGGGCCATATTTGTACATATATTTAATTTGTGTTTTTTTTTTTAGATTTTCATTAAAAAAATAACGTAAAAGATTAAAAGAATTGTTGAGAACTACCTCTTGCTCGTGACTTCATTCAAGTGTAATTAAGAGATATTTTAAAATGCGTGATACTCGTTGAAAACGTAGCTTTTTAAAAGTGAAAGAATTTACGAAAACGGTCCAGTAGTTTTGAGTTATATATACAAAAATACAAATTTACTAAAGTAAAATATGACACTAAAATTTGAAAGTATTTTGCTTACAGAAGAGATAATGTTATCTTTTGATTGTTGTATATTTACTAGTGAATGTCTTAATAAAATTCTATAAATACCTTCATTTTCATTAATATGTTATTCATTCTGTAATCACCGTGGCACAGGTTCTTGAACTTCGTTCCGTCGCCATTCAAACATTTCATATATTTATCCAAGAGTTCAGGATATTGTTCTTCTAATTTCTTCCGTGTTTCATTCTCTAATATTGCTACTGATGTGCCGAACATTTTTTTGCAGAATTCCAAATTTTTCTCCTCAAATTTTATAATTTGTTTCAAATGTTTAATTTTCTTTTCGAAAAATTCTGGTCTTTTCCGTTCCATAACTAACCCTAAGCTATGAAATTTTGCCAGCTGTTGTATTGATAATTCTGCGAACTTTAGCGGCATTACGTTCATTCTAAAAACGGTCGTGAAACCGTCTTTTGATAGATTTTGTAGTATTATCGCTTCTGAGTTACTTTCGTAATAAGATTTAGCCGATTTGTATCTTTCCTCTGCTGGTATTTTCGCCTCATCTTCGAGACTAGTAAACACTTTGCTCACTTCATTATAAAAGAACAATTCTCTACAATATATTTCTGATACATCAGCTAAATTGAATTCAGGAATTGAATGCTTTATAAAAATATTTGTTTCCTTCTCTCCTGTTGTAGTTCTCCCTTTAATATCTACTTCGTATAACGAAGCCAAATAGTTTCCTCCCTCCGTAGAAATCGAGCGACTTAGTAATTTGTATTTTAGATAACCTTCTTTCTGTGCAATTTTTTCTAACGACGTTTGAAGACTGCATGGTAGTTCTTTGCTCGTACAAACTACTTTTGTTGTATCGAAATTTTGGTATTTTTCTTCTACTTGCATTTTTAATACACAATTTTAATAGAAGATGTAAGTAATATTGCGAAGTACTGAATTAAATTTATCTCAATTCGCGGAAGATTTTATATCAGTCTGTAATGTTAGGGATATTCCATATTTAAGCGTGTTTTTATTAAAAAAAAAAATATCTTTTTAATATTTAATGCATTAGTCAATTAATTTTTTTGGAAACAGTTATGTAATGCGATTTTTTCTATTTTTTTTAGATGTTTCTACGCTTTATTTAAAATCCTAAGATGTAGAAAGAGAGATTGTTCATACTAAGATATTTGATGTTACACATTTGCAGCCTTACAAATAAACGCGGTATAAAGTTGAACGGTCTGTCCTCGGCGGTATTTCCAAACCAATACGACTTAGGGTCCTTCAAGAAGCGAGCCTACAATTTCCTCAAAGGCCGGCAACGCATCTGTAGTTGCTCTGGTGTTGCGGATGTCGATGGGCGTCGTTGACCACCTCGGTGTTCTCGCCATTCGTTTGCCCCATTCTCTTATAAAAAAACTTAGGAATACATTGAGGACGTAAGAGACGTGTTTATATTTCTTTGAAACAATTCCAGTGTGAACAATGCCTTAATTACGTTGTAATATAAATATTGTTCAAGGTATTCAAGTGTTGAGATTTTATATATGACGGTGTTGCTTTACTTTTTAATTACGTTGTTTATATGCCGACAAATAAGATAAAATTATCCTTATAATTTTGTTAACAATATTTACAAAACTAATAAAATACATATTTAGATTGTAACTTGTACTAAATCTTGACTCTTCGACGTATATCCCATAATTAAGAGATAAATTACGTTTCTGATGGTGAAAGAATTTTTTAAATCGGCCCAGTGGTTTTTTAGTTATTTGAATACATATAAAAATACAAAGATTTCCTCTTTTTAATATTAGTATAGATAATTTTTTTTTTTAACTTTTACCGTCTCAGCTAAACATTTCGTAATAAAAAATCAAAGCTTTTTATATTCCAATTTTTGTCTGCCTTACTAGGGAAACAAAACAACCCTTTTAAGCATCGAAAACACCCTGAAAGCTACTCAAAATATGTTTGCGAGAGCCTTAAGAATAAAAACAATCCTGGTCTTGTAATCTCAAAGGAAAGGGAAGTGATTAAAAGCCTGTGTTAATTTTTTAATAATGTACCCTATCTTACTCTGATGACAAATAGGGTTGTCGACAAAAAGACGACTGGCCTTATAAATGATGGCAAAACATTAAAGTTTACTAAAAAAACTACAATCTGACTGATTCATTCTTTTAGATGATTAACTCGAAAACATCGAAAAAAATGTTTAAAGAGTGACAAATGTTAAGGGAAATTTAAACTCGGTTTTTAACTATTATTTTAGAATTTCATTTCTCACCTCCACTGTAGATGTTTTGTGCCGATATAATATACTCTATGACACTCCGGGGAAGAAGACGATTCAAATGACACCTCAATTATCAATATCGGTGTAGTCGTTTAGGTTCTAAGCTGTTACAATTAAATAACTCAAAATAGTACTCGAGAAAAACATTACCCTTTGTTAATCGGTTAATGGTGCACCCACGTGTGTTAGATAAGTTCAAGGAGATGATTCGATCGCAAAGGCTGTTATGAGATGTAAGAGAAAGTTGAAACGTATGCTAGTAACGAAAGTTACTATGATGGAGGAGACGCATGGGAAGGGGAATTATCTTTATGTGCTTCTCTTCCTTCTGCATTTAAGGCAATGTATCTGCAATTGCAGATGTCTTTAGGTAGTGGTCGTTTCGCCTTTTCGGTGAATTCAGATGGACGCTCGCTCGTTTGCCATCGTCCAATTTATAGAAACGGTTATAACTAATCACCCTAGTAATGAAATGACTCTTTATCCTAGTTGGCAAATGCAAAAAAATACAGCCGTAACTTTTTTAGACTAAAGATTGGACATAAAAATAAGGGTAAGGCCGTTTTAAATAAATGTTTCATGTTTTTATCTAAATCTAAATAAGCAAATTCACATAATCCCCTTTGCTAGATTTTGCAAGGTTTCTTCAAAGATTATTATGCGACGCAAAAAAATAAGCAAATAAATGAAAGCAGCAAACTCTGTACATGTCTTAGTTTTAATAACTCAATTGACCTGTTTTCAAAACAAATAATAAACCCCTAATTATATAAAATTGTTCTTTCAAGGTCATTCTTTAATGAAACTGTCTAAAAGGATTGAGATATTTGTAGATAGCATTGTATAGAGTCATTTACCATAGAAAAAGCAAACTGCAAAATTTAGAAGCAACATATGTAGGTTGTAGAAAATAGAGTTAATTACGGACGAGAAGTGAAAATTAAAAGTAAAAAGAAAGGTACTACTAGAGTTCCTCAAATATTAATTAATGGTACATTGTTTATGGTTGAATTATATCATACTAATATTATAAATGCGAAAGTTTAGATGGATGCATGTTTGTTGTAGTTCGAAGCCTAAATTGCTGAACGAATCTCGATGAAATTTGGCATTGATGTAGAGGATAGTCTGGAAGGATACATGGGAGTCGTGGGCAAAAACTAGTTAGTAGTTATAAAAAATAAAGTCGCGGAACTTTCTGCCCCGCACAGGCGCGTTGTGGAACGGTCTATCTTCGGCGGTATTTCCAAACCAGTACGACTTAGGATCTTTCAAGAAGCGAGCCTACAACTTCCTCAAAGGCCGGAAACGCATCTGTAGTTCCTCTGGTGTTGCGGATGTCCATTGGCGTCGTTGACCACCTTTGTGTTCCCACCGCTCGTTTGCCTTCTTCTCATATAAAAAAAAACACATCACTATTACTAACTAAAATGTGTTTGGAATTTGATGAAGAAATCCTCTTTATTGCATTTATTTATCTTATCTATTTTATTGTTTGAGCTCTACAAATACTGCTGTAAAAAGGAAATCTTGTAAAATTCCCACCAGATTTATTCTATATAAACAGCAAATAAACACGTAAAATGCGTCGCAATATAAGGAATGTTATTTTTAATGACGTCGTTTTGGTAGTTAATTTTAGTACTAATATGATATTATTTTTCCCCAGGTACCAAAGTGATGGGATTGAAAATCTAAAAACGCGATGTTATCAACCATTTTTATGACGTACGTATATCTAAAACAGCGATGCAAAAACATACACCGAAAACAGAACAAAATGAATCGTTACATCGTGAATTTGATAACAGCAACCATAATATTGGCATCACTACCTTATTGCACACTGAGTCTACCAAGCGGAGATCCCGCGCCTGGCAGATCCCCTGGACCACCTATTTATGATCGCGATGTACTCCAAGATAAAGAAAATTTAAAATACATTGACGACGAATTAGAGACTAGTTTAGGCGTACCTGTGGAAGAAGCAGCAATCTATGATGAGACAACGACAAACGATATAGAAACAACGACAAAGAGTGAAGTGGTTAGTGTTAGTGAGAAGGCGATTGGTGATGCATGTGCCTTCGCGAGGATCCCAAGTGACAGTGCAGATATAGTTACCTTGAGTGAAAAAGATAGTGATATTAACGTGACCGTTAGTCATGCGGTTTTCGATGCTGAACAACTTGTTAGAGGAGTTATTTATGATGGTAAGTCTTAAATCCATAAGACTTTAGACTTTATATAGAATTTCCTAAACAAAACTAAATAAACTCTAATCTAACTAAAATTATAAATGTGAAAGTTTAGATGGATGGATGGATGTATGTTAGAGTATGTAGCCTAAACGGCGGAACGGATTTCTGTGAAATTTGGTACAGATGTAGAGGATAGCCTGGAAGAACACATGGCTACTCGATTTTGTTTTTTTTAATTCCACGCGTACGGAGTCGCTGGCGAAAGCTAGTTTAATAATAATCTACACTAACTTTATAAAGAGGAACGATTTGTATTTTTGTATGTTTTGAAATAACTTAAAATTCAAAAATTCTTGCACCATTAAAAAGCCATGTTATCACTAACATAGTCTGTGTTTTTACTATTGTTAGTAACACGCGAGCGAAGTCGCGAGCAAGAGCTAATGATGAATATACGGTTTATTATACGAAAATATATGGCTTTGGTATGAAACGTAAGAAGTAATCTCTCGTATTTAATTTGTGTAAATAACAATACACTAGTCATTGTAAAAAACAAATTTGTATTGTGATAAACTATACTGATGTACTCTTATATAGTGTTTACGCGCCATTTTTACGTCAACTATGTTAGTAAATACAGTGAAGTTCCAAATTTAAATTATCCTTGTTTGTCTTTTTATCTGTCTTATTCCTTAAGCCAGAGAGCTACGTTTGAAATTTGGATCTTTGATATTTGGATCTGTAGAGTAAATTATTTGCCTCTAATTTATGCAATTATATGTAAAGATTAATTTATACATGGGACGGGAACCGCAATGGCCGTTAACGCACCATTGAGCACTGAGGGAATTGCTAATGAACAATCAGTGCAGAGCAGGAGCAAACGCGACTGATTTGATTGCACACAAATGTATATTAAACACGAAACAATGGTTATTATAACAGTAACTATAAAACCTCTATAATTATCAAACAGTTTATTACAATAAATGTAATTCAGTTAATAGTACCTAGTTTTCGTGTCGATACCTTACCTTCTAGAGGGAAGGCAGCGTTATATAGGATTTGACCCACTAAAACCCCCTCATTGGCCAACCTCTAGTGACAGGTTCCGGGATCTCCAAGGAACACACCGAAACCAATTAAAAGTAAAATTTAATTATTACCTAAAATAGATCTTCTAAGGTGTCACCATCTCACTACACGGACAGGCTCTGGAGCCTACCCTAAGTTAGGAGTAACTAGGCCATGCCCGTAACCCCGGCTTAAGGCGTTGGAGGAACCGAGGGGTTTAGTGGATATGCCATCCGTTAAGGGGAGAGAGTCCCACATAACTACCGCGTCCCCCTGGGCGCGGAGTATGCGTAAGATGCATTTCCCTTGGGCAAAAAAAAAAACTAGGCCATAATCAACCACGCTTGTTTGTTGTTTTA